ACAAATCCTTTTTTTAAGTAAAAGCTATGTATGATTTATATGTATTTATGAGACACGCGAATGCCTTAAATGAGTAATAAGTTTTTAGCGTTAGTTTATAGTAGCAATAAAATGACTTCTCTGAACAGTAGTTAACTTTAATATTGTTTGTTGTATTATGACTATAAAGACACGATTCTGATATAACATTTTTCTGTTAGTTCTTCTCTGTACTTTCATTTTGTTTTACCTTCTACATATTTTGTCTCTCAAGATAATCTAATATTATATACGCAAAAATTTGTGAGATTCGTTGGATTTCATCGGCTCTATTTTCAATAAAAGATAGACCATCTCCATGATATAAAACCCCAATCAATAAAATCTATTACAACCGCTTAAAGAATATTAATTATAATCCCTTGTATATTAGTATAACCGTTTAATCGCGAAAAAGTAAGAAATACACTGACACACTTTCGCAGTTATAATTTTTGTATGATTATGATTAGTATGAACTAATATCGTTCTAATATCGGTATTCATTATAAGAGGGCACGATTTTTATTGTTCAGTAGGTTTTATTCAATTCACTAGACAGTATCTTGTGTAAGTGATTGAAATTCATGCTGGTAGTCTTGAATATCAGTATTGTACTCTAATATGCTGCTTAAATAAATAATGAGATAGTTCTATAATTCCTAATTATGACTGTATTATTATGTATATTACAGTCAGTATTAAGTAAAATCACAAAAAGGTTATTGTAATATTTTGAACATTTTCAATTTTTATCATGACCAACAAAAAAGTCAAGACAACACACTCACACGACACAACCTACACTAAAACTACAACCGTATTTAGTTCAGACTGGAAAAAGACATCCAAATGAAATATAAATATTTTTCGATCAAACAAGTAATATATGTGACAAATATGCCATCGCTTTGTCTTCTCAGGTCTTCCAAAAAAGTATTCCGATCCAATTGGATCGGAATACTTTTTTGGAAGACCTGGTCTTTTCTCTCAGATAGAATTCTATCTGAGAGAAAAGACCATAACATTCAAAATTAACATCTTTGTACACGATGATTATAAAATTGTATTAAACTAAAAGCACCCTTGCTTTTAGTTTAATACAATGTAATCTAGATGTAATGGGTTTATTGGTGCCTACTCAGTTTTCCGTTTTTCTTCGCCACTCTCAAAGGGATCTATCTAGCTACTAAATAGGTACGTGCATATTCTCTCTTTTAGGATGAAATGCTTCACATGTTTTTGTAACAATTTACATTTTAATTAAAGTGGACTTTCTTAACATTTGTAACACCTGACAAATGAATATACCAACGTTATTAAGTATTCTTTAGGATAGGTATCTCTTGATAAGAAATATTACATTGTATTCAAACAATAAAATGTACAATTCTCAGTGACCCAATTCGAGTTTGTTACAGACATTAGCTCAATTCTGAGTGTACGGAAGGGGAAGCTATCAATCAACAGTGACACTGGCAGTATAGACGTACGGATAACCGGCATTTACGCTGTGCAATGTATTACGGTATTAATTTAGAGGTAAACAAACGGATAGTAGCAAAATTGGTATATCTATACACCGGTATATTTTACCGAAGTAGACATGGATAGGTACTACTGTCTCATATTTGATACTTCAAATTATATATTTGACCCAACATACGGCATGCTTGGCAAATTGCGTTTCTGTTTTAAGGTAGCTAAAATGCAGTGAAATTATTCCGACATAAAAGCTAGTAAGATACACTCATTTCCGTCATGCTCGTGAACAAGCGCTGCTTGTAGGGACTGATCTGCTCTGAGCCTTACGAATGATTTAAACTTAATTAGGTACTCAACTAGTTCGTTGTGTCTTTTTTATTTTGATAATAAAGTAATGCTGGTTGGCAGTTTGTATTCACACATGACAACGTAGAAAATAATATTTTAATCTGTACACAAAAAAAATCTATCTCTTTATAATACTATTTATATTATGTTAATAATACATAGTAACGATAACTCAGCATTATTTTGTTTTTCTTCTTTTTAATGTTTGTGCAATGAATTTTTATATATAAATAAAAATTTAGGTACTTAGTTGGTATATAAATCTTACAAGCTACTCGTGAATCGTAGAATTGTATTTGGACCGATACTGGCTGGCGCGAAACATCATCATCATTTATAATTTTATGATCATATTATTTGTACCCATTGTTTTATTTTCAAAGAAAATGTATACAACATTTTCTTGATCGTCAATCGACTTAGCTTTGATCACTTTTATTATATATTATTATATAATATATAGCTGACAGAGTCGTGACCTAGTGGTTTACTGTCCTGAATTACGCCTAAGAGATCGTAAGTTCAAATATGACCAAGAACTGAAACAAAACATTCTTGATTTTGATAACATAATTTGAATAAATAAAATTACAATATTATGTGAAGCTAATTGTACTGAAGGGAGGTTAGTACAAAGTCTTCTGTATGGGCACTTTCGTCTCTCAAAGCAAGTTACTAGCATCGCCTGCGGTTTACGGGTAAGCGACTTGTATTTGAAATATGAAATACTGGTATAGCAGTTAATATCGAGTACCGCTACATTTCTATGTTGATTGTCAGATGCCTAATCTTTGTTAATATGTATTTACTTAGAACAACATTAATTTAAAAGCGCAACACACAAGTTCCTTGCTAGTTCATCTTCTAATGAGGCTGCGTTCTGAATGAGTGGTAGAAAAGTTAAAGAAAAGTTGAAAGAAATTAAGTTTATTTGTTATTTATATATACATATATATGCATATATTATATACCTACATATACAATCAAAAAAGACAATAAGAAGCATTGAAAAGTTGATACTGTTACAAAGTGTGAAGCGATGGACGTAAATTAGAGTTCGAAAACCATTAGCTGTCCAAATTTTATAGGACTCGAACTCCTTTGTGCTTTGATCAGCTCGGATCGGCAGTTTGAAACTGCGCAGGTGGTCATTCTCTCTTGAAACAAAACTTCTTAAACTTTGTGCGACTATTTTTGGATTGTTGGCCAGTTCTAATAGAGTTAGACTTCATTCTGTCAGAATTGGATGTTAGAGAAATGAACATATTGTGTTTTTTTTTTATTTTAGTGTCCTACTACTAATCCCAAGACGCCCCCTCACACTTCTGAACCTATTAAGTAATACCTTAAGATATTATGAAGAATTTATGCCAAGTTCTAAATGTAAAAGACGTGTTTTTTACATAAAAAAAAATACATAAAAAATATTTAGTTAAAAAACTCAATATTCTATCTCCTGAACAAATGTCTGACATTAAGGATATCTCTGATCCAAATTACATCAAATTAAAGTTCCATAACTATTTCTAAAAAAATCGTTTTTACGACGAAATTTACACTTAAAAATTACTTGGAAAGAATGATTGTCAAAAACGTTATTCCTTTGATCATTCCACGAGGTCAGCATCTAAGAAGGTTTTGTAAAAATTTGAAAACCATCGGGCCATTCGTTTGGAGTAATTTTTCTTACCGCCTTTGAATATGCGCGCCGCCGTTTCGGAAAAACTGCATTCAAAGTTTCAAGAGACTAATAATAATTAGATTAAGATTAATACTCAGTTAATTTATTTCTACTTACAACGAGTCATCTATTGCTGTAAGATGAATACTCTCCTTATTTTCGTCCAATATTGTTAATTGGTATTGTCTACGAGATATTCTTACCTTGCGCGGGCTCCCTTCCGTCTTCCGCTATCTACCGCTTTTCATGTTTTATACTAAACTTTTAGTACCTCATGACATCCTTATTCAAATGCGCTCATTTCTCCGAAGCTATTAGCCCCATTAACTTGAAATTTTCAGTGAATACATTTAAATATATGCACATTGGATAAAAAAATGAAGTTTGTTTTTACACATTTCATTTTTTTAACCAATGTGCATCCATTCTAACTTAATAAGGCATAACTTCATAAACACAATTATAAACTTTACGGTTTAGATCGGCTTTAGATGATAAAAAGTGAACCTGTCCTTCTTGCTTTAACAACTTCTTCTGCGAATTTGAGTGATGTAACTAACATATATATCTTTGATTATTTACCACGGATATTACTGATATATGACGGATATGCTCTTAATCTCTATAGGCACTTTCCATCAGATAAGCCATCAATTTGTTAACCCTATATACAATTTTATCAAGGGAAACTTTGTGCAAACTCACCTGCGTGAGTATCCTATCGATTTCAAACATCAAGTAGTTTGCTTTGTAAGTGGTATTGTGATCCAAAGGGTGTTAGTTCTCCGAAATGGCAAAGCGTGTGTGGTACTAGGGACGTCCAATAATGATGCGATATCTGTGGTGCTGTTCATATATGTAGCAGTTGCCACCTACCAACGGATGGGCTTAGTTTATTAAGCTTTCCTGTTTCATATAAAACATAGTCCTTTCTTCCTATATATAGGACATTGCTATCACCGACTATTTCAACTGCATTTGAATTTTCTTATTGCCATATTATGAAATTTTACGTACATTATCTATCACGTTATGTTTTGACGTTTTAATGTGGTACAGAGGCAGTTTAATGTCACAAGCTTTGTTATTTCGCAAGTGTTTCAAAATTTATGTTCACTCACTATTAATTTATTCCATCTATAATTCCCTGTTACCTCTCAAACTATTATTAGTTATAAATAAAGTGGTGTAAGGCATTATATTTCATAGTAAGTGCATTAAATTCTGCTTTGTTTTTTAAAATATATTACAATGACTTTGTCTACGCTATATTTAGGACCTTCTTATAAAATACAGTGCTATAAACAAAAAAATATTTGTTCTATGTAGCTAATTCTACGATATTTAGAATACAATAGTTATAATATTTATTTATACAAGTAAGGAATTTTACAAATTTTATGTATCGTAAAGTACAGTATAGTAAACTATAAGTTACAACGTTAAATTAAACATGTAGGTACACAGGCTTTGTTCATATTTATTTTTAATTACAATTAATGTCAGTTATTACCAAGGTCAGTTACGTCACTTCATGAAGTTGAAAAATAACGACATATGAATACATATTGTATGTCTAGGTATCAGTCATATTTCATGATTACAATATCTTATCAACGCGCGTTTCAGCTGATTGATAGTTGCAAAAACAATATCCAATCCAAATCATAATCATCGAGCAGACCTGAATCGCGCTATCAAAGTCTTATTGTAGTTATGTATATATACAAAGGTCTGATATGAAGCATCTGGGAGTCCGACTCTACTCAGGTATTAGAAGCGGAACTAGAGAAAATCCGTTGAGTAAGTAGCAGCTGGAGAGCGCGCACAGTCGCAGCACCCCTGCTCTTACTGAGGACTCGTATGCAGTCCTGCAATTCGCCTGGGTTGTGACTCGGGTGGATGGACGAGTTGCTAAGGAGCGTCCTAAAGCAACCGTCAAGAGAGGGAAACTATTCCTTCAACGCCACTGTAGTAGATAACTTGACTCCTTTTTAGAATAAAATAGAGAGATGCATTTTTTTCTTGCTATTTCAATGCCTTTGTCTGTAACCGACCTTTAAACTTTCCCTGATGAAATTAAATGTAAACACGTATCCAAATCGATGAAATTTTACTAAAAAACTACATTATTGCATTTTTCTAACAAAATCTTCTCTCGTCTCTTTTTTTATGTATTCAAATATACGATTGTGTGACTGCAGCGAAGCTCCTTGGTATATGTGAAAAAAGCAAAATATCTTCAATCATATTCTTTGTCGCAATATAAGTCAGTCAAAAATAACACATAAAAAATGTATGTGAAAATCTATTATAAAAATAACAATGACATATCAACCGGCTTGAAGATATTCCAATATTCGCGTATATAGGTATATCCACAGCTTCAGAAATAAAGGTGTATATAATTAGATCGGTAATCGAACGTGTAATGAGCCCGTTGATTTAAATATAGGTACCTAGCTAAGTGCATCGACCGCATTCCTATTTCTCTGTAGGTTCTGTTTGGGTGTTCGTATGTTGCACAATCTTTATGCAATAGCTAGTGCCAGTACTTTGTAAATAATATGTCCTAACGACCTCGATGGTCTAGCAGTTTAGCACACCACCTTACTTCCGATGGTCGCGGGTTCGATTCCACGCAGGGCACAAACTTTTGTATTCATGAGTGTGATTGTTTGTATCGGTCTAGGTGTGTTCTATATGTATGTATTTATAAAAAAAAAATATGTATTCGTATCAGTTATCTAGTATCCATAACACAAGATTTAGCTAGCTTCTAGGGTCTAGATGGCGCTTTGTGAATTGTCCTGAGATTATTATTATTATAAACCAAATGTAATATAAACCATATTATTACATTTACATTGGTGTGCTAACTCAACATCAACTTGTTTATTAAAACTGTTAAAAATAAATGTATTTTACCTGTTTTGTAGACATGCATCATAATCTTCCGAAATTGCACCGCATCAGACGTACTCACGGGTGTCACATGAAAACATGATCTCCATGGTGCTATTCATATATGTATACTAGTATAACTGTCAGTTACCAGTTACCATCAGGTGGACCGTCAGCCACTCTGTCATTCTAATTACATAAAAAAATACATCTTTATGACTATATGTCATTACATTTGTTTCAAAGAATGGACAATATGCCATTGTTACAACCCACCACCTGTCGTTATTAACAGTGATTATAGTAATTAAGTATCTGCTTCATAAGATGGCATTATTGCCATCTCGAAGTGGAACCGCCGCAACCGCCCGTAAAAAAACTTATGTGAAAATATTTGTTGGGACTTAAAAAAAATACTACTAATTACTCAACAAACAACGATGTCATTGTAATTAGCGCGTAGTTTGAAATATTAATTTATAAGGATAGACAAATTAAGGATAACGATATATATAGCAATAAAAATACGAATTTTATATTTTTTTAAGTCTCATTCGTGTCTCCGTTGTCCATGTTTATGTCTTAACCTTGGAACGTCACATATTTTAAAGTGTACATAATAAGCTAGTTCTGTTAATAGCTGAAATTTTCTATAATAATAGTTAGGTATATATGTATATACTTAAGTATTTATAAGAAAACCTTGTCACAAAATGTCACACTTTGTCCCCCACCCCGCCCCCTCTGTGTCATTAACGTAACGCAAATAATTTCTTTTTTTGATCGAGAGTATTTCTGTAAATCTAAATAGATATTTTAACAAAACTCCTCTCTATTATATTATTCTTCAAAATATTTTAATTTTATAAATAGGAATAAATTTTAGAATTAGAAATAGGAAGTTAAGAATCCTATTACTTATTTTGAAATTCATAGAGATGTATCTATTTTACCTTGAGATATAATTACCACTCATTTTAATAGTTAATAATAATTTTATACGGTACATGACGAATGTCCTGTCTACACGAACGTAAGTACGAGTAAATGTCCCTATCCAAATCAGTTAAAACAGCACTTGTGAAGTATCAAATAAATCAGACTGTATCAAATGAACAATCTCTTGATTGATGATTTTCCAATTACAGCAATGCATAAATATTCCATTTGTTTTGCATACAAGGGGATCGAAACGTGTATTGAGTTTGAACCTTAATGTTTGTATACAAATATGAATATTTCTCTGAAACAAGTCATAGAAGATACGAATGCAAACAATTTCAGAATGCAAACTATCAGTATTCTAAATTTTGTGATATGATTATGTATAGCTTGTGGTTTATGCGGTATATTTCAATCGATGTATGTACTAACATTAATAGCTTTGTGCATTGAAGCCATTCAGATGTATTGATTTATGAACCATCTTTGAGTGGGCGGTGATATATGCATGTTGGCTATTTCCCTTTTGTAACCGAGTAATGTTAGCTCCAATTTATTAAGCTTAGTACCACCTAAAATTTTAAATATGTTTACAACAAATAATTATATTACTAAATCTGTACTGTGCTCTTAATGTGACTCATCTTTAAGTTTAGAAAGCCTCATGGTAAATTATGTTCGAGAACAGAAAACATAATGACGCGCCGACTTTGTGACACTTAGGTAGTATAAAAAAATATAAATAAATAGTTCACATACTTTTTAAATGGACGATTATGAAAAAAGGTCCAGGTTGCACCGCCGCCGTTTAATAATGAAAACAATCATTCAACCTTGCATGTGAACTTTTTTTTGCTTCTTGGTGAAAATAGTTCCATTTAATTAATACTATTCGATTTTTTACACATTCAACTAACCTGTAATGAAGTAATTAAATTTGTAATACTATTAGGATTAAGAATTCATCGACAGATCATTTACTAATATGAATCAAATACTTAATTAAACACAACTCCTGAGAGGTACATACATACATCTGAATAACAATAGATACACATAAAAAATAAATAGTCGAATTAAAAATAGATAACTTTCGTTACAACTGTAATCGCTAATAGAACAGAGAATCATTGTCAACTGTTAATATTCTGTTGTGTACAAAACATATATGATGGTTTACGAGAATTCATAACTCCAAATAACTAAATAAATAACACTTGCTGCATAGGTGTAACATCAGGGAATTTTTGCTATTATCAATGTTTCTATTACCGGGCAATGTAGTCAAATATAAATAAACACAAGTATTTTCCAGATTTCAAATCACGATCTTTTGATTTTCATGCATAGTATTATTATATATATGAAGATGGACTCGAAAACTTCTTATTTTTTTTTCAAATTAATTCTAAAAAGGAGTCATTGTTATCTACTACAGTGGTGTCGAAGAGACTTCTTTCTCTTTACTCTCCTCCGTCCGGTCGTCTTCATCGTCCGCGGCTTATCGCTAATCATTAAGCGAGGCTCAGGGCCGTAACCGCATTCACCCCGATGGAGGTGCCTCGGGATCCAGGTTCTTGCCAGACTCATCGTTCCGAGTAGATCCAACTGTCACCCACCGCGCTATTCAACAGCAGGTGAATCCGTCGGATCTGCCCGGAATCCAAGGTCCTTGCGAGTCCCATTGTTCCGAGTAGTAGATCCAACGTCACAAAGCCATTCCAACTGGTGGACCAACCCAGTCCAGGGGGGAAGATGCTTTGTACACCAAGCGCATGGCGAGCCCAATTCCCCTGGACATATCGGGTTCGCGATGGGAAGCGGATTTTATTGAAAGCAGATCCACTTCCAATGACTGCTTTACTGAGTAGATACGGACTCCTTCCTACGTAAACAATCAATTAATATATATACTTATCAGTGCTAAAATTCTGATAGCGCGTTTTAGGTTTTCACATGCTCCGCACGAATCTGTATCTATACTATGTAATATTATGTTATCTGTGTCTATACTAATATTATAAAGAGGAAAGATTTGTATTTTTGTGTGACTGTTTGTATTGAATGGCTCCGAAACTACTGGACCGATTTGAATAATTCTTTCACCATTAGGAAGCTACACTATCCCTGAGTAACATATATTATATTTACAAAAAAATTAAGGAACCCAAGGTGTAAAAATATTATATAAAAAATACCTAACATCGCGTGCGCTGCAAAAAGTGTCGCGACAGCATATGTCCAACTATTATAGTTATATCACAATAACTGTTTTTTAATTTATAAATTTAATTTAAATGATACAAATAAAGAGCTTATTCTAGCTTCTTCTTAGTGAAGGTGAGTATTAACGCATTCCAAAGGGGACCTTTAAACCTACTCTCGTGTCACAGGTCACGGGCACTACTTGGAGTTCTCTCCCTAAACCATCAGTGGCCGGCATTAGGGCCTAAGTCGTCATCATAACTAGTGGTTTCAAGAGTAGTTTATTTTTAATTTTATTATGATTATCTGGTTCATTCTCTGTATTTTACTCTACTGCTCTAAAATATTTTTAAATTGAAGGCTAGGAATGGCATTTTGTATGGGAAAAATAGGGAAGATACGGTACTTTGCTTGCAATCATCACCCCATTATAAATAATCACCTGCTCCATATTTTGTCCATATTTGATTTACCTGGCAGTATTTATTTCAATAATAAGAATAATATTAATTCAAAACAACTAAATATATTAACTTTTAAAAAGTCATATTTTTTTATTCTACCGCTCATTTGAAATACATTGGGAAGCCTAAATTTAATACTCTTTATTTTAATTGCATTTAATAGCATATTATTAGCAGTAAACCATTTTCAAACAATTGAGAAAGCACGGTTTGCTTCGTCCATATCATTAATATGTCATTGAACTGTAAATACTAATGAAGTAAGTAAGTTTAAGAAGATATATGAACACACAATATATATAGAAAGTAAAAACCCTAAGAAAATCGAAATCATAGCTATTATAAAAATATTAGCGAATTTGGGTCACGCTTTCACTGTAATAAATCGTACAATTGCTATTTATTAGTGTAGTTTCCGCTTGTGTCTCGGTCGTATGTAAGAATGTAAATGTTTCGTATTATTGAATTTGTTGCTGGCAGCTTAGCTTGTGTTCTTGTATTAAATACTATATTATTTTGATACATCTTTCTTTTATATGTCACTTTTGACGTCTTTGTCAGCCCCCTTGGGAATTATACACCTATAATACAATTATTACCGATTTTTAATTAGTAGTTGGTATGCCTGCTCCAGTCACAGAATTACAATATGTAATATTTAACCGCTAACAGTAAAACTAAGTTGCTCTATATGTCTGTCAGTTTTTCCTTATATTTCTTCGAATCCACCACAGTGAGTGGACATACACTCATTGTGCACCCAACCTCCGTGCATTAACTAGCCAGATACATTTACTAAAAAATATATTGTCTAAATGTCAGATTCGCTTGCAAATTTCTGATTTAAAAAGTTGTTACATTAATTATTATTTTAATTCTGATATTATTTACACCGTCATTTATTAATATCACTCCTGCTGTTATCAACACCCCAACCAAACCACATATTTATTAAGTAAATACCTAAGTAACACTTTTACACTGTATCAAAACTTTTGGTTTAGAAGTTGGCCGAGAAGCAAACTTTGCTTTATACGGTATAAAGCAAAGTTATCATCGTTGTAGATGTCCCTAAGTTTTTATTTTTTAACAAAACCATAATTAATACAAACATTCTTGTCTGTTTGTATTGGTCTGGATGTATCGTACGTATCTTCTGTATAAAACGTTATTTCGAAAAAGACATATTTACCATTTCTACCTTGTACCCATCCAACAAGTTCTTTGGATGTGGGACTAGATGGTGCTGTGTGGAAATATTGAATAATATAAGAGATAATGATAATGACGCATGTCGGTAGCAACCAAGTTATTTACGTGAAATGTTGGTTAGATGGTTGGCGGCTGGTTAATTTCTATGCAAATGACCGGTCCTCATTATGGGCACAAGTAAGCTGAGGCCTAGGCGCATGCCGGTGGCTTGCACAGTTTTAGGCATTGATTAGAAAACAGTTGCAACAACGTCATCTTACGCTTGTATTCATGTTATTCACACAGGCTACAATTGGTGTCGATTACAATAACATGTTAATTACTACTACGTTAGATTTGACTTATTATAAATTTCTTTAACCTACATAAATAAAAATATTTTGATTTGATTAAAAAAAAGGACCAGGCCTGCATTGCATTTATATAATACAAGTGATTCGTGCCGATCTCACACTTTGTGCGCACATTATATAATCTGTCTCACTTGGGAATATATCTTTCAAACTATGAAGTTCCTCTATCTTCACAGTTTGAAAGATATATTCTAAAGTCTATATATTATAAAATCAGCCAGGATATACTGTTAGAGTAATAATGATCAAATAACCTTCACCAATACCTTCTTATGGATAAAAATTTCAATAGTAGATTTTCCTAATCATTTCAAGCTCATAAAACAACTCTTAATGTAACGGGGTTAACAAACTCTTACATGCATAATTTTGGTAATAATCCTCATTAAAAGATAAACTTTTCGAAAAGCTAAACAATTTTTTGTTTAAATGTGCTGTTGGGTGTTTCCTAGCTGTTTTCACAAAACTTTAACTACCCAAAATTTCATTATAGTTATCTTAAAAACAATATTACATAATCTTACATAAATCTGTATTGACTTTTGAATTCCCTGAATATAAAAATGCTTCGCATACAATTATATCATAAATCGAAATTTAAAATCACATTATCATGCTGAAACGCAATTTCGTTACATACAAACAACATAACAGCGTATTGATGAACTCAAGGATTCGCAATATAAGGTCGACTATACTCCTGAATCGACATCACTGCTACATTACTGGATGACGGCACGGCATCATCAATTCCCTTTATTGGTACTTTCTTTCGCCATCAACACTATCTGACTTGGGTGCGGCATTAAATTTTACGACTCTGCCTCATTTGAGGCACAGATCTGTTACTCATTTTCGAACGATTCAATATTCCACCCTCGTTTATTTGCTTCAAATTGTACTCGCACTGTAATAACATGAGTGTTGGGACTGTAATTAGTCATTTGTGCTAATCAACTTTTTGCGAGATTGCCCCTATAGCTTAGCAATAGTTTCTTGTTGAATCTCTACAATTTATTGCAACAGTCTCTCTACCTACGCTTAATCTTAGTAAATTGATGCTATTATGGTACTAACGAGTATATCTTAGTTATGATAATAAATATCAGTGATTGTTTATTATCCAGTAAATCTATTTAGTTAGGAACGTATAACAGATGTTATCTCCATCATTTTGTGTCTATATGATTTCTTTAGATTTTAGTCAACAGGCTCTACTAACACAAGAAACGCCGAAACAGTATCTGGCAAAAACTTGTCCCCAACACTTTATGAGACTTTCCGTAATCGTCTCATTAAAAATTTCTTCGGCATACCAAAATATATTTTGCATAAAATTCTTGCACCAGTTGTTGGCCGAATCACTTTCCCAACGATCTTAACTTTCATCTTTGAA